GTAGTGTAGGGTAGTGTAGGGTAGTGTAGGGTAGTGTAGTGTAGTGTAGTGTAGGGTAGTGTAGTGTAGTGTAGTGTAGTGTAGGGTAGTGTAGTGTAGGGTAGTGTAGGGTAGTGTAGTGTAGTGTAGTGTAGTGGAGGGTAGTGGAGGGTAGTGTAGGGTAGTGTAGTGTAGTGTAGTGTAGGGTAGTGTAGTGTAGGGTAGTGTAGTGTAGGGTAGGGTAGGGTAGTGTAGTGTAGTGTAGTGTAGGGTAGTGTAGTGTAGTGTAGTGTAGGGTAGTGTAGGGTAGTGTAGTGTAGTGTAGGGTAGGGTAGGGTAGTGTAGTGTAGTGTAGGGTAGTGTAGTGTAGTGTAGTGTAGTGTAGGGTAGTGTAGTGTAGTGTAGGGTAGTGTAGTGTAGGGTAGTGTAGTGTAGTGTAGTGTAGGGTAGTGTAGGGTAGTGTAGGGTAGTGTAGTGTAGTATAGTGTAGTGTAGTGTAGGGTAGTGTAGTGTAGTGTAGGGTAGGGTAGTGTAGTGTAGGGTACTGTAGTGTAGTGTAGTGTAGGGTACTGTAGTGTAGTGTAGTGTAGTGTAGGGTAGTGTAGTGTAGGTTAGTGTAGGGTAGTGTAGTGTAGTGTAGTGTAGGGTAGGGTAGTGTAGTGTAGTGTAGTGTAGGGTAGTGTAGTGTAGTGTAGGGTAGGGTAGTGTAGTGTAGGGTACTGTAGTGTAGTGTAGTGTAGGGTAGTGTAGTGTAGGTTAGTGTAGGGTAGTGTAGTGTAGGTTAGTGTAGGGTAGTGTAGTGTAGTGTAGGGTAGTGTAGTGTAATGTAGTGTTTACGTAAGCTATGAGGACTTCATTCTTTTCCGCTTGCTTTCCATGTGCTGTGCCAGCTACAGCAAGGCGGAAGTGCCAGGTAGCAACAGATGCCGGGTGAGGCAGGTTTGGTCATGTGGCTGCGTTGGCTTCAGAAGTTCAGGTACAGATGCTCCCAGGGGCTTCCCTGCTTGGCCAGCTCCTGGCATGCAACCCAAATCATCCCTGCCTCTGTAGAGGTCCAATGCAGAAACCTGCACTCTCTCTCCCAGTGTCCAGGAACCCCTGGCTGGGTACTAAGTGCCCATCCAGGAGGAAGCCTAGCCTAGCCAGGGCGTTTGCGATGCGACCAAGGGGGGGTCGAGGACACGTGGGTTCCCAGGGTGGCCCAAGGGACAGGAGGTATGCTGGAAGGATGGCGGCCTGGTCACACAGCGTGAAAACATCCCCATCTGCCTTCCACATTCCAGGCGGTGCCCAGCGCCTCCCACAGCATCACATTATCCTACCGGGAGCCCTGATCCTAAGCAGTCCCTCCAGTGGAAGAAGGTCTGGGAGCGGCCAAGCACCTTGTCTCAGATCACACAGGGCTGCTAAGCGGCCGGGCCCTCAGAGAGTGCCCATGAGGCCTTTCCTGCGGGTTGAGTCTGTGCCTCCTCCTGCAGCGGCATCTGAAGCGTGGCTCTCCCCTGATCCTTCCGGGGACCCAATCCCAAGCCCTCTACCTCAGGGGCAGCATCCTGGCTGCTGTGTCCGCTCTCTGCAGTCAATGCTGCCACCCATTCTGTCTGCCCTCTGTGTCTTCTGTGCTCTTGATAGAACCAAGCTGACACCTCCTCTCACAAACATCACCGCCCAGAAAGCAAGGATGGGAGGAAGCGCCTTGTGCTGCATTGATTGAGGAAAACACTGTCTCCTTATCCTTTCCAGGTGTTATTTGGAATTACGAAGGCTACAATGTATTTTGTGTTTCATCTAATTTTTTGACATTCTCTTTTTGCCTTCAGGGAGGCTTCTCAGTCCCAAAATGCGGCAGGTCCTTGGGAGGGGTGAAGGCGGAGGCTCTGAGGAAGGATGGAGGGACCAGGGAAGGGAGGCTCAAAGGCAGAGCAGCTGCACTCAGAGGCTGAGGGTGAGCAGGTGGCTCTGCAGCTCCGCACAGCTGCCGCGTGGTACCACACAGTTCCCTCGTGGCACCACACAGCTCCCACATGGCTCTGACAGCTCCTGCGTGGCTCCGCACAGCTGCCGCGTGGCACCACACAGTTCCCTCGTGGCACCACACAGCTCCCACATGGCTCTGACAGCTCCTGCGTGGCTCCACACAGCTGCCACGTGGCACCACACAGCTCCCTCATGGCACCACACAGCTCCCATGTGGCTCCGACAGCTGCCGCGTGGCTCTGCACAGCTGCCGCGTGGCACCACACAGCTCCAGGGCTTGGCAGTCATACCCACTGGATGTAACAGCTGCCGACTTGCACTGAAGGTGCCTTGTGCTCAGTGCTTCTGTGAGGATCTCACTCACCACTCACAATCCACAGCAACCTTCTGTTGGCGGGGCTGGGGGCTCCTCCATGCGGTCAGGACACCAGGCCAGGGGGACGGAAGCGCCAGAACTGGCCAGGCGCCTCCTGGGGCAGGGCTCTCGTTCACCGAGGCCCAGGCTCTCAGGTGAACCTAGGACTGTTGATGGTAACTAACGGTCCTAAGATGGTGGCATTGGTCTTGTTTTAGACCTTGAGGCTGTCATTGAAGATTTCTCATTTTGTCCTATTCCTACTCACTCCGTTGCTGAATGCGCTCAGCCCGACCTACCAACACACGGGTGTGAGCGCTCCTCAAACGGGAGGCAATGTCGCCGTCCTTGGAGGTGCACTTCTGCTTTTCTGTCCACAACTTCGCTGTCTGTCCAGCACATCGGTTGAGACCCGGTGGAAGCTTTGGAAGCTTTCATTTCCTTCCCCTCATGGCGAAATGTCAGACATATCCTGTGACTTTGCCGAGGTTTCTATGCAGCAGCTTCCTGTGAAGCCACACAAAGACACAGAGGACACTTCAATTGCAGTGCAAAGTGGAAGAAGCCAACGTGAAAAGGCTGCATGCTGCGTGATTCCAACGAGGTGCCATTTGGGGAAAGGTGCAGAGAAAGAGCAGGTGAGCAGGCAGGGCACAGGGAAGTGAGAGCAGTGAGGTCAGGAGTTCAAGGCCAGCCTGGCCAACGTGGTGAAACTCGGTCTCTACTAAAAATATAAAAATTAGCCGGGCATGGTGGCAGACACCTGTAGGCCCAGCTACTTGGGAGGATGAGGCAGCAGAATTGCTTGAACCCAGGAGGCAGAAGTTGCAGTGACCCGAGATGGCACCACTGCACTCCTGCCTGTGCAGTAGGGCCAGACTCCGTCTTAAAAAAAAAATACGTTATACTCAAAACTTGAATTTATCAAGTGACAAAATAAACTAAGTTAGGCCACAGAATGGAGAAGATATGTATAACACATTTATCCGGTAGGATACTAGTATCTAGAATATGTAATTAAATAGCTGGATTAAAATATATATACTTGATTTTTAAAATAGAGAAAAACAAGAAGATAGATCAGTGAGGAGGAAAGAATCTCTAGAAAGTCCCCAAACTGGCCGGGCGCAGTGGCTCACGCCTGTAATCCCAGCACTTTGGGAGGCCGAGGCAGACAGATCACAAGGTCAAGAGATGGAAACCATCCTGGCCAACATGGTGAAACCCTGTCTCTACTAAAATACAAAAATTAGCTGGGCATGGTGGCATGCACTTATAGTCACAGCTGCTTGGGAGGCTGAGGCAGAAGAATTGCTTGAACCCAGAAGGTGGAGGTTGCAGTGAGCCAAGATTGTACCACTGCACTCTAGCCTGGTGCCTGGTGACAGAGCAAGACTCTGCCTCTGAAAAAGAAGAAATTCCCCAAACTGAAAACCTGAGAGCTTTGTAACTATTCAGAGTTTAATCGCACCCAATAAAGACAAAGGTGTGCAGGAGTGTTCAGGCTCTGCTGGTGGGAAAGTAAATTATTTCAATCATGTCGAAAATTATTTAAAAGCTGAGAAAGTCCACTCTTAACATTTCAGGACATTTATATACACAGATACATGCACAAGAATGTTTAAAGTGATTTTTTTTTGAGACAGGGTCTTGCTCTGTTGTCCAGGCCAAAGTGCGGTGGCACAAACTAAAGTAAAACTGTTTAATTTTTTTAAATTAGAAATTGCCTAAATTTCATTCACCGGAGAATGGATAAGGTAATTATTGTATAGTATACAATGAAATTCTACAAAGCAGTGAAAATGAACAAAATTGAAAGTGAATTAGCCAGCCATGGCGGGGTACGCTTGTGGTCCTAGCTACCCAGAGCACTGATGGGGAGGATGCCTTTAGCCCAGGAGATGGAGGCTGCAGTAAGTGGTGATTGCACTGCTGCACTCCAGCCTGGGCAACACAGTAAGACCCTGTGTCTATTCAAATGAAATTGAGGCTGGGTGTGATGGCTCACGCTGGTAATCCAAACACTTTGGGAGGTCGAGGTAGGTCGATCACCTGAGTTAAGCAGTTCAAGACCAGCCTGGCCAACATGGTGAAACTCAATACAAAAATTAGCCAGGCATGGTGGTTCGTGCCTGTAATCCCAGCTACTCGGGAGGCTGAGGCAGGAGAATCGCTTGAATCCAGGAGGCAAAGGTTGCAGTGAGCCGAGATGGTGCCACTGCACTCTAGCCTGAGTAACAGAGTGAGACTCTGTCTCAAAAACAAAAAAGGAAGAAAAAGAAATTGACAGTGAAAAATTAGGCATACAAATATGCACAACATGACATCTCTTATATAAAGCGCGAGAAACAGAGCTATACGTAGCTTAGAGATAAGAGGCAGCAAAGGCTAAAGAAATGCCTGTTCGTGATAAACTCTCAGCTCTCTCTGTGGGTCACGGCCCGAGGGAGGAAGAAAACAGGGGCGAGTGACAGGCAGGCCTCCTCTCACAGCGCAACTCTTGGGCGCAGCAACCAGGACTGGGCGCCCCCAACCCCTGCGCAGTTAGGCACCCAGCGCAGCAGCTGTGAGGACACAGGGCTCCCGCCTTCTGTCGTGGCTGTGCCGATGGGTATGCAGGTCTTCCTAGCGAGATTTCTACCGGTTCGTACATCTTAAGCAACGCATGTTCTGTGTTTAAATTAAAAACGTTCTGTGTTTAAGTCTTTAGCGTACGGATTGGCAAGCCGTCCGAATTTTTTAGGTTAGGAGAGAAAAGGTCAGGCCTAAATTTGGGAGGCAGAACTCGGATGGCAGGAGAGAAGACGAACGTGAGAGGAGAGCTTGGAAGCAGAGGTTCCGAGGCGACAAGAGCAGGCAGGTGTCACGCCAGGCTGTGGCAGCAGGACGGGACAGGAAGCGGTGTCCCCAGAGCCTGGCGACCGCCGAGAGGTCCTGGTCCTGCCGGCTGACTGATCAGACAGATTCCCAGGGAATCCGGGAGGGAGAGAGGCGGGTTGGATGGAGGGGGAGTTCAGGTGTGACACGCTGACTCTGGTGCGGTGACAGGACGCGGCTGCGCGGACCCCCAGGTATTTGGAAACGTAGGTCCGGGGCGCCCGGGAGAGCTCAGGGCTGGAGGCGCACTTGGGGAGCCACGGATGCGCTCCCAGAGCGCGCCTAAGAGGGGCAGGTGTGTGTTTGCGGGGGGTGCTGGGCAAGCAGGAGGCTCGAGGGGCGCCCACCGCAGGGAAGGGGAAGTCAGCGCAGGAGCCTGAGGAGGAGAAGCTGCGAGAGTGCGTTTCTGAGGAACTCCGAGGGTGCGAGGGCGGAACCCAGGCGTGGCACAGCCGCGCGGAAACGAGGAGCGCGCCCTGGGCGGTCGCCAGGGAGTCCTGAGGGCCCCGCGGTGGGCAGGTGCCTCTGTGCCGGAACCCACGGCAGGCGGAGGCGCGAGCTGAGTCCTGGGTGTGCCAGGGAGAACTGAGGACGCCCCTGAGAAGGCGAAGCTAAAAGTGCCGCGGGAGTCTTGATGGGGCGAGCACTCGTGGGGGTGGGCGAGGAGAGCACACTCAGCCTGCGTGCTGGCCAGTGGGGCTGAGGTCAGGGGCCACGGGAGGAGAAGGCTGGGATGGTGGGGGGAGAAAAACACTCAGCATGAGTGCTGGTAGGAGGGGCTGAGGTGTGGGAGGGAACAGGAGGAGAAGGCTGGGATGGTGGGGGGAGAAAAACACTCAGCATGAATGCTGGTATGAGTGCAGGTTGGGGGACAGGAGGAGAAGGCTGAGATGGGGGAGGAGAGCACACTCAGCCTGCGTGCTGGCAGGTGGGGGGCTGAGGTCAGGGGCCACGGGAGGAGAAGGCTGGGATTGGGGGGAGAACAGCACTCAGCATGCGTGCGGGTAGGAGGGGCTGAGGTGGGGGGAGGACTGGGGGAGAAGGCTGGGATGGTGGGGGGAGAGAAACTCAGCATGCGTGCGGGTAGGAGGGGCTGAGGTGGGGGGAGGACTGGGGGAGAAGGCTGGGATGGGGAGGAGAGCACACTCAGCCTGCGTGCTGGCAGGTGGGGGGCTGAGGTCAGGGGGCACAGGGGGAGAAGGTGGGGGAGGAACAGCGCCTTCTTTCCTGTGCACCTTGGACTCCAGATGAAGACTGGCCGGCAATGGGCTGCCTGTGTCGAGGACAGAAGAGGCTTGGAGAGGGCTGCCTTTTCTCTAGAGGTGGCTGCCCTGTGCACCTACCTCCCTGGGGAAGGGCAGCTCTGTGGCGTCAGTGATCTGCATAAAGAAAGCTGGGTGTAAGTTTACTCATGAATCATGAGTACATTTCTATTTTTATTATAGCCAAGTGAGTTCTCACGAGCAGACAGGAACACTCTGAACCCTAGAGATGGGTGGCTCCAGAGCCATTGGCTTTAACGGTCATCCAACAGATTTTCTGAAAAAACAAACAAATGGCAGGGCGTGGAGGCTGATGCCTGGCGGGCAGATCACGAGGTCAGGAGTTCCAGACCAGCCTGACCAACACGGTGAAACCCCGTCCTTAACAAAAATAAAAAATTAGCTGGGCCTGGTAGCGTGGGCTTGCAATCCCAGCTACTCGAGAGGCTGAGGCAGGAGAATGGCTTGAATCCCGGAGGTGGAGGTTGCGGTGAGCTGAGATCGCCCCATTGCACTCCAGCTTGGGTGACAGAGTCAGACTCTGTCTCAAAACAAACAAAACATGCTTGATGTTGAATCCTGGAAAAGTCATAGAATATCACATTTGTGACGACCCCAGAGAGCAGCTAATTCCACTTCTCATTTTACAGTTTGAGACCTTCAAAGACCGGGCGATTTTTCCTGGGGTCACACGGCTTGACGCCCGTACTTTTCTGTGAAGTGAAAGGCTCGCAGCATCTTTCAGGAATCTCTAGAAGAAAATATGTTGGAATTTCTAAGCTTTACAGAGAAACCGTCACTCCCTAAAACATTGAGTATAGAACGTTCTTGCTTCCTGCAACCTTAAAGTGAGCCTGGGGCTGGTAAGGTGGCTTCTGCAGGTAATCCCAGCGTGTGGGAGGCTCAGGTCGGAGGATCGTCCGAATCCTGAAGTCCAGGGATTTCAGGATCACATCACTGCACTGGGGCAGCCTGGGCAGCACAGCGTCCAAAGAAATTTATGAAAGTGAAGTCAGCGTGAGGAGGAGGCGTGTGGAAGGGAAGGAGTCCGTGCTGCTCCTGCCTGTGCCCCTGGGCAGGTGGAGTTAATCGTCTGGTAGGAAGGCTCAGCTTGCATGAAACGTCTCATTTTCTGGGAGGAATTGAACAGATGAGGTTTTCCTGCCTCCAAATATAGGAATATTCCTGTGTTTTATCTTTTCAGGAGAAAAATTCTCTAACTTTGTATCCACCACAGAATGACAACTTCTTTACTTTTCTGGAAGAATGAACTGAAGCTATTAGTCAAGGCTGAAGGCTAGGAGACGTGGAAAACTGCTACAGGGTAACATTTCCGTGGAATGATAAACACATGATGTGTTCCTATTTAAGCGGAAATACACACATAGATCATACTTCCCAGGGGCAGCTGATGTCACTGAACTTTGTGTTGTGCGCTGCCCCAGAATGTTTTACAGAAATGGAACCTCAACAGGTTTACCGACAACGTGTAAGTTTATTCAAAGCGGCTGAAAGAAAAGAAGATTAAGTGCAATTAAACAACAGAAACGCACGGAGGACGGCTGCAGAATTTGGGGTGGGGTCTGTGTGGCTGTGTCAGAGGGGACATATTTAACTGTCCTCTCCAGAGAAGACGAGTTGCCTCTCCCCAGGAACCTGCAGGGTCACAGCATACCCGTGCTCAGTAGTTCTTTTTATGACCTAACAACCTTCCCACCAGCATGAAGCTCTGAGCAATGAAATAGAGAGAACATTGCAGAATCGCTGATTCCTGTGAGAAGTAACTGTGCTGTATCTTCCAGTATGCCCTGAATATAGATGCTGTGGAAGCAAATTGTTACTTCTCCCTCAGTCCTTGGTGCAGGCGAATAAAAATGCAATGTCAAGGACCAGAGGCTGGAGGAGGGCAGTGGAGGGTCCGGGTGTAAACTCAAAACATTGGAGGTGGAGCTGCTGTGGGTAAAGAGTGTAGGGAAGAAGCCCGGGGCTGCGCATCGGAGCGTCTCTGGAGAACAGCTTTGCTGTTCGCTTTCCACAAATTGAGCGAGTGTGTTAAACTGGATTAACACCCCTCGTCTACCTCAAATGGTGCTGTGAGAATCCAATGATAACACAATGAAATATTTTATTAAAAAGAGATAAACAGCCAGGTGCGGTGGCTCATGCCTGTAATCCCAGCACTTTGGGAGGTTGAGGCGGGTAGATCACCTGAGGTCAGGCGTTTTAAGACCAGCATGGCCAACATGGTGAAACCCCGTCTCTACGAAAAATCCAAAAATTAGCCAGGCTTGGTGGTGGCCACCTGTAATCCCAGCTACTCGGGAGGCTGAGGCAGGAGAATTCCTTGAACTCGGGAGGCGGAGGTTGCAGTGAGCCAAGATCACGCCATTCCAATGAAATGAAATTATAGTTTAGGAGTCATGCAGCTCGAGGCTACACGATTCTGACACCCCCTAAGCTGCTCTTAAGATCAGTGCTTGAGCTATTTTGCAGATGCTGCACTGGGTGGATCAGCTGGCAGCCCCCAGATTGATAAACTGGCTCATCTGATCTTGTGGTCCCTACCCAGGAACTGACTTTGCACCAGAAGACAGCTTCACCTCCCTATGATTTACTCCCAGCTCACTGGCTTCCCACACCCACCAAGTTGTTCTTAAAAATTCTGCTCCCCGAATGTGCAGGGAGACTGATTTGCATAATAGTGGAACTTCCGTCTCCTGCACGGCCAGCTCTATGTGAATTACTCTTCCTCTATTACAGTCTCCCTGTCTGGATAAATCGACTGTCTAGGCAGCGGGCAAGGTGAACCCATTGGGAGGTTACATTTGAATAACACTCTTCCTTATTTCAGAGAAGCTGACTGTGCCTTTTGAAATCACGCTCTTGTTAGCAACCTGACTTTCCCCCAGCCCCTTCCCCCAGCCCCCATCAGCTCCTTGCTGGTCCTCACACAGCCCCTTCAATGATCCCTGTCATGTGGAACTGTGTCCATTTTCTTGGGCTGCCAAGTGCTTCTTGAGAAAGTCATGAGATGAGGTTGCCTGGTATCACTACAAATTTCAGATTGGATTTAGCAGCCATTTTATCTATCTACTTGTTATAAGTCCTTATGAATACTATCTTCACTATCATATTATTTCTGTTTTCTCAGGTGCCAAACTAAGTTTATCCCTGGAACTGCTCCAGACAGTTTCAACTTGATATAAGAAATACTTCAGGCCGGGCGCGGTGGCTCACGCCTGTGATCCCACCCAGCACTTTGGGAGGCCGAGGCGGGTGGATCACAAGGTTTCACCTGGTCAACAGGTGAAACTCTGTCTCTACTAAAAATACAAAAATTATCTGGGCATGGTGGTGCGTGCCTGTAGTCCCAGCTACTCAGGAGGCTGAGGCAGGAGAATTGCTTGAACCCAGAAGGCAGAGGTTGTGGTGAGCCGAGATCGTGCCATTGCACTCCAGCCTGGGTAACAAGAGCGAAACTCCATCTCAAAAAAAAAAAACCTTCAGCCAAAGTACATTTAAAGGAGTTTAATTAAGCAACGAACGATTTGCGAATCGGGCAACCCACAGAATCACGGTAGGTTCACAGAGACTCCAGCGCGGCCGCGCGGTGGAAGATTTATGGGCAGAAAGAGAAAGAGATGTACAGAAAAGGAAGTGAGGTACAGAAACAGCCGGGTTGGTTACCCCTCAGCGTTTGCCTTACTTAAACACAGTTCACACAGTCGGCTACATTTGATTGGCCAGAACAGGTGTCGGCTATGGTCTCTTCACACCTCCACTTCCTATACAGTTCACAAGACCTACAGAGAAGCCCGAACTTCAAATGGGTTAGGAGGCAGCTTTAGGCTAAACTTCATTCAACAAACTTTAGACCAATGTCAGGATTTAGTTCAATTTGGAATCTGTGAAACTGAAGACCTCTGGAGTGAACTCAAATTCAGATTCCCAGATCATAGTTTCTTGAACTATTAGGTATATTCTCCAATCTGCTCACCTCGTGTAAGAAAGTGCAAGGCCTTGGCTGGGCAGGGTGGCTCATGCCTGTAATCCCAGCACTTTGGGAGGCCGAGGCAGGTGGATTGCTTGAGGTCAGGAGTTCAAGAGCAGCCTAGCCAACATAGCAAAACCCCATCTCTAAAAAAATTAGCCAGGCGTGGTGGCAGGTGCCTGTAGGCCCAGCTACTCTGGAGGCTGAGGCAAGAAATAGCTTGAACCTGGGAGGTGGAGGTTGCAGTGAGCTGAGATGGTGCCACTGCACTCCAGCCTGGGCGACAGAGCAGGACTGTCTCCCCAAACAAAAAAAAAAAAGAGAAAAAAAGTACATCCTGGCCTAGCGCGGTGGCTCACGCCTGTAATCCCAGCCCTTTGGGAGGCTGAGGTGGGCGGATCATGGGGTCAGGAGTTGGAGACGAGTCTGGCCAACATAGTGAAACCCTGTCTCTACTAAAAATACAAAAAATTAGCCAGGTATGGTGGCGTGGGCCTGTACTCTCAGCTACTCGGGAGGCTGAGGCAGGGGAATCGCTTGAACCCAGGCAGTGGAGGCTGCAGTGAGCCGAGATGGCGCCACTGCACTCCACCTTGGCGACAGAGCAAGATTCGGTCTAAAAAAAAAAGAAAGGAAAAAAAGGAAAAAGCACAGCCCTCCACTGAGGCCTCTGGGCGATCCAATAGAATGGGGGCGTGGACTGCGTGGGGACCACGCATGACCGTGACAGGCGCAGTGTGAATACTGGCGTTGAAAGCAGCTGAGGGGCTGGGGAAAGGGGCTGCAGGTGTGGGAGTCAGGCCAGCCACGGGAAAGTGCCCACGGTGTGCGGGGGTCATTCAGGGCTACGGGGAAAATTAGCCCCGGGTCTGCTCTGGGGTGCGGGGTGGCGGGTTGGGGTACCCTCCCCAGGGCCAGGGCGAGCAGGGTTCAGGGCTCCTGAACCAGGGCTCCAGCAGGATTAGGGTGGTTTTTAGGATGAGTAAGCCCTGCAGGGTCCCTGCTTTTAACCCAGAGGGAACCCGGGCCCACGTGGGAGTGGGGGTGAGACCGGCAGCCCACAGAAGGGGCGCTGAGACGCGCGGCCACGACGAGCAGGGGCGCTCCAAGAAGCCCGCGGCTCCTGTTGTTAGGAGGCGGTCCAGGGTGTCGTGCCGCGGCCGGTCGCCAGGTGGCGGCAGTGGCCCGTGCGAGGCAGCTTCCTCCCGCGCGGCACTTGGCCAGGTGCACTGGCTCACACGTGTTATCCCAGCACTTTGGGAGGCTGAGGTGGGCGTATCACCTGAGGTCGGGAGTTCGAGACCAGCCTGACCAACATGACGAAACCCCATCTCTACTAGAATTACAAAATTAACCGGGTGTGGTGGCGCGCGCCTATAATCCCAGATACTCCGGAGGCTGAAGCAGGAGAATCGCTTGAACCCGGAAGGCAGAGGTTGCAGTGAGCCGAGATCCACTGCACTCCAGCCTGGGGGACAGAGCGAGACTCCGTCTCAAAAATAAATAAATAAATAGGCACTTAATCCCAGACTGAAACCCTCTTTTCAGACTCTATATTAAGAAATCGAAGAACAGACTGGTGGATCACTTGAGGTCAGGAGTTTGAGACTAGCCCAGGCAACATGGCGAAACCCTGGCTCTACTAAAAATACCAAAATTAGCCTGTCGAGGTGTTTCGAGCCTGTAATCCTTGCTACTCAGGAAGGTGGGGCAAGAGAATCGCTTGAACCTGGGAGGCAGAGGTTGCAGTGAGCCGAGATCACGCCACTGCACTCTAGCCTGAGCCACACAGTGAGACTCCATGTCAACAACAAAAAAAAAGAGCTTAAAGAACTTAAGAAAACATCAAACACTTCTGAGGTCCCAATGCCCATGTGGTAATTAATGAGGGTACTCAAGGAAGGTGACATAATTGGCAATGTAAAATAATTAAACAGTTTCCGAAAGTCTTATTTCAGTGAAGGAAACATTTGTCTTCAAGGGAAACAGCAATGAAAATTATGTTTATGTCAAAAATGAGCCCTTTCTGCAAACTCCATTTAGAAAATTATGGGCATTATTACCATTTTATACAGAATAACTCTCTAGAAAGCGTTTTGTTTCTAT